AAAACTACTACGAATTTCCTTAAAAAAACACGATACGTTATTCATTATCGTAATTTGAAGTTTTACTTGAGCAAAGGAATGGAAATCACAAAAGTTCACAGAGTCATCGAGTTTTACCAATCAGCATGGCTCGCTGAATATGTTCAATTTTGTACATCCAAAAGACAAGCAGCTACATCTGATTTTGAAAAGGACTTTTATAAACTCCTTGTCAATTCAATTTATGGTAAAACCATTGAAGATGTACGAAAGCATCGTACAGTCGAAATTGCACTTCAGGATATTGAAGCTCAGAGGCATCTACGCAAGGATCAGTGTCAAAGATTCATGATATTGGATGAAAATAAGATGATATTCTGGATGCGAAAATTGAGTGTCATGATGAATAAACCGATATCAATTGGTTTCACAGTTCTGGAGTTGGCAAAACTTAAGATGTTCGAAATCCATTATGACACTTTCAAACAGCATTATCGTGATAATATCAATATGATTTATACTGATACAGACTCACTGATCTACGCAATCAAAACGCAAGATATAGTGAGTGATCTTCGATATTTCTCTTCAATCATGGACTTTTCAAATTACCCCAAAGAACATCCTCTATACTCGAATGTTAATAATAAAAAAATCGGTTATTTGAAGGACGAGCTTGCTGGTAAACAAATTGGTGAATTTGTAGGAATTCGTCCAAAACTTTATGCTGTGAAAACTGAGGATGAAGTTAAAAAACGAGCTAAAGGAGTTCCTCGTTCAATCCTCAAAAATAAAATTACTTTTGAAGATTACTTAACCTGCCTTCATGATCACAGAATCACTAGTGACACTGCCATTACACTACAATCAGACCATCATAATATTCAAATGATTCAAAGAACCAAAGTTATGTTATCACCTTTTGATGATAAAAGATATTGGACTGACAAATTAACCTCATACGCGTATGGTCACTATAAAATAGACCAGTGAAATTCTCTTTCATAAATATTCGAAAATTAATTAGATTTTGGATGATTTATAATAAATATTTTTTTAATTTTCTAAATAAAGTCTTTTCATTACTTTCGTGTTTACATTTACTGAAGAGTTTATAAAATGAATTAAGGGAATTAACTGATAAAACAAAAAGAATACAAAAGTAACCACAAGCAATGGATAGATTGCCTTGATACTTTATAGGATTAAAAATATAGTAATCAGAATTAGCTTCAATAAAAGTAAGTATATTTCCTTGAGGTTGTCTTCCGAAAGAATCGAAATAATGAGCTACTTTATTCTTGTCAAAATAAACGGCCACCCAATGACTTCCTGGTTTATAACTTTCATCAAGGTTGATTATAACTGAACTAGGAGTATATATCCATCTTGGTAGTTGATCTAGTGCAAAAACACCATTGAACCATGGCACGTCTTTTAACAAGTTTTGTATTTCGATAGTTGTTAGCATTCTAGTAGTCTAAACGTACAACTCGGTCTTTATCAATAGTAATCAAATTATCGAATTGTGCAAACACAATTGCTTTTATCGAAACATCAAGTTTAGCAGTGAACTTAATATCAAGTCTTATATTTCCTCTTCTAATTAGAGATAAAGTTCCATTTTCAGCACCAATACTTCCATCAGGGGTTAGATCAAATGCAAATAAAGTTGAATTGGAGAAGTAAGATTCTTTAGATAAATTTAATTGAGGGATTCCTTCATCTTGATTGAAACATCTATAAAGATTAATAAATTCCCTGGCAAATAAATTTTCGGCAAAATTAGGAGTATACGGTATACTTGGAACAGTATGTCCGTCAACTGATAATGCGATATAGTTAGTTTTGAAGTTTAGAAAATCAAATGGGTTCTCTTTAATAGAGCCTGAATGGGCTGAATCTTTTACGAGACCAATAAGTATTCGACGTGGTAGAACGCCATTGAAAATGTTTTCAATTGATACTGATGTTTGTCCTGCTGAAATAGCGAAACTTCGAGTATCATTTCTTGTAATGAAATATTTAGCAGCACCTTTATCCAAACCTTGAAGTAAACTCTTATGTGCTTCGGGGAAAAGTTTGACTCTTTTGATAAAAAGAGAAAACTTTTTGATTGTGAATTTATATTCAGTCACATCAGGGGACACTAATGGAAAACCCGATGGACTTTTAGTGAATCTAAAAGTTAAAGGTACACCATTCAGTAGCAATTTATCCTGTTCACATATTGATGAATGTAAACGGAAAAATAAATCGAAAGGTTGACGTAAATCAGTTTCTGTTACTTGACTTCCCGAGTCACAGAAATTAGGGTGTCTGAATAATAAGTCTTCGAGATATGATTGATAATGGTACATGTTATTTGCTTGGACAGTATTAACTGAACCTAGGAAAACGTCGATCTGCTCGAACATTGCATTTCCAAAATTCTCTACAGCTCGCACATGGTTTTCTTCTGCTAATGCTAAATGAGTATTGGTTGTAACAACAACATTCAAATGTATCATTGTAGATGCTAAATCAGTAAAGTCTTCACTTGAAGGGACATTTATTTCATAGAAATTACTTGATTCAAGACTAGAAACCGGGCGATATTCGACTTCATAGCTTGATTCAATAGCAGTTTGAGTAGGAGGTATAGTAAATACCTGTAACTCAGACTTGCTTGAAGGTAGTGAAGATTCATGTAAGTACTCCATCATGAGAAAATATCTTTCTTTTTAGTTTTAAGTTTACGACGTTTTCGTTTTCTTATACCAGTACCGACTTGATCAACTAGTGAATCAAGTTTACTTAATCCTTCTTTAGCGGCATTCTTGAGGCCTTGTCTCCCTCTTGCCTTAAATGAAGATCTTAAGTTAGTGCCTGATAAATAATCATTGCCGACGTCAATACCAGTTTTAACAAATTGTTTACCGAGAAATTGAAGAATTGGGACACCAAATCTTCGAAAAACAGAACCAATTCCATATCCTCGCTGGTAAGGCTGTCCTCGATACAATGTAATATCAGAGTAACCATTGCCTGCTTGGGATCGGTAATGTTGAGTGAAATCACTATCACACGGACAATAAATTTTACGATTCATTTTTTTAATATAAACTCATTTTTATTTATTCTTATACAGTTTTCTTGAAATGTAAGCTGAGAAAAACGCGACCAGTTTTGAATCTAATTTGATTACCGGTTTCATCACATAAGACAATACTTATATCTTCGATTTTGTTTGAACGTACAGGATAATAATAAGGTGAAGTAAAAGTCATGTGACCAAGTTTATCACTAGGTTCACGATTAAGAGGTACTACTCTTAGTACTCTTGCTGAAATATCCCCAAGTAAATGTGCATGGATAATATCTGAATAGATGAACATCAAATGAGATTTAGGTCCAAGATCAGGTTGATTTGGCGCTTTGATTTCATCCCAACTTTCGGCAACAGCTTGCTGCATCTCGCTGGCGAACGTATTGTTATCAAATCCTAAAGCTCGTATGAATGTGTGATCGGAGAAAATAGGGTAAACACCTTTTTCAGCGTCTGGAATTCTTCCGGCTTTAATAACTACTTTTTTCTTTTGCTTAGTAGGTTCCCCTTCATTGATTAGAACTAGTTGTGGTGGTTTGAAATCTTTTTGTTTATTTATACCTGCTAAACCAATTTGTAGATGAGAATCTGATATGCTTTTATTGAGCTTTTTAAGCATTCCTTCAACATCATCGTTTTCTTGATAATCAAAGTCTATTGATACGGTTGGTCTCCTCCCTCGATAAGAGATGAAATAATTGATTGATCTCTTGATCGGTTTATGTGACAATGGGTAAAATACTTCTTGAACTGCTACTGACCATTCGCCATCGAGATGCAATGGAGTTGCAAGTCGATTAGTGAATTTAGATATTGTGTTGTCAGGGTAAGTTTCCATACTTGCGTTTGATACAACATCAACAAAGTATTCACTCGACATTTTCTACCCAGCTATTGAATTTATTAGGATAACCTAACCATTTAACGAAATATTCTTTTTTCTTTGTAAGTGGATTTATTCGTTCTTTAAGGATTTTTTCAATCTTATACAGATTAGGTTCTTTAACAGGAAATATTTCATCGTGATAAAATACAGATGTTATTGGTTCCTCGCTCCAATCAACTAATCTGTAAATATATCCTTGAGGTGTTTTCTTTACTTTGATTATTTTGAATAATTCTTCTGTCCAATTTGAGGTCGCACCTTTTTCGAAAATAGATTTAGCGCGAGTTATTCTTACGAAATCACCAACTTTATATGCGGTTTGTTTCTTCATATTTTTCTTTTGTGCTTTGAAGATATTACTAATTGCTTTGCTTGGATAAAGCAATGCTTGTTTAGGTGACATTTTGATTGTTCGATGGTAAGATGAATTATATGCATCGATAATTTTATCTAGTGCATCAATATATCGTTGACTGTTTTTAAAGTGCATGTATCTGTAAATCCTTGTTCTTAAGGTACGGTTGAATCTTTCAACTATCGCACATTTTATAACATCATCAGTCGATGTGAAATGATTAACATTATTATTTGTTAAGTATTCGTTCAAGTAACGATTTACAAACTCTTTTCCTTGATCAGTTTGTAGTTTTTCAGGTTTTCTTTCAATTTTCCGGAAGGCATTGATAACCGATAAGGCTGATTTATCTTTTAAAGGGATACTCCACGCATATCGACTAAGACAATCAATAACATTTAATAAGTATTTGATATTATTGTTTGATTTGGCTAACCAAGTCATATCCATAATATCTGCTTGCCATTGCTCATCTATTCTATCAACTAGAATAGGTAATCTTGGAAAATTTTTTATTGATCTTCTGAATAGATTGTATGTATCTTGATCTCTAATCCAAGCATCAACTTCTTTGAACTTGATTTTTGGATTGACTTCTTTCGCTACTTGGTACAATTTTTTAACTCCACCGAATGAACCGGGTGATTTAGGATCGAAATATATTTTGCTTAATTCCATCTCTTCTTTGTCGTTATCATGTCAATTGCACGCGGATTTCTAATATGCTTTACTAAATGAGGATACTCTCGTCTTATTCTACGAATAACAGCAGGGCCTCCGTTAGGTAGTGGAACGGTAGCATCCTTAGTTAAATGATCTACAATCTTGCTCAATCTACTACCATATACCTTATCACCACCAGACCTTAAAACTTCACCTTTCTTATTGAAAAGTCCGGGAATATTTCTTAAAGCCATTTCTAATTTCGCTGGAGTTTGACGTACAGGCGTCGCAGGTAATAGACTTCGTGCCCATGCCGGTTTTGGTGCAGGTACAGGTGTTGCCCATGCCGGATTTGGTGGAGGCGTTTCATAAACGCTTTCACGAGGGAATTCTTCCTCTTCATATTCTTTAGGTTCATCTTTGTATTCAAATGAAGTAGCTGGCTGATTAGGGAAATTATCTTTTGTTCTTGAAACAAAATCATTGAGTAATTTAATTTGTGTATCAAGGGGAATATTTGTATTTAACAGTCGATTAGTTACGGTTGGTTTCTCGCAATTACGTCTGAAGTAATCTTCAGAAACCATGAACATACGGGTCACTGAATTCATCTTGCAGCTAAATTTGCGAGTAAAGTGATTGCTGGAACAAGTAATCCGGGTAGAAATCCACCTTGTTGATTGATAATTTTCTTTTTAGTGGTAGGATTAGATTTTCTTGCTAGTGCACGTATATGCTTCTTATACGGTTTTAGTTTATTTTTACGTTGTTCTGATAAATCAAAAGTACCTTTCAAGGTTTCTCTTGCAATTTCAGCAATCACGCTGTAAATGCACTTGTTGGCGTGATCAAGAATGAGTTTTCTTTGCTTATTAGTTTTCGCTTTTGCTAGCGCTTTCAGGCTAGGTAAGCATTTGATTGCGGTCTTTACTGTCATTTTTAATAAACTGTAAATAGTTGCATTCTTATACTAAGTATGTTGTAATGTAGTCCTTCTCGCCTAAAACATTAGATAGAAATCTAACTTCCATTGGAGTTTCAGGTTTTAAGTCGACGAATAAATATGAATAGGGTGCTGAGGTAGCATCTTCATAAATTGCTTGTAATTTACTGACTTTACCGGGTAACATTTGTCTACGATACTTGTGATAATTGATTGATCCCGTGGATTTTTAAATAATACAATGTATTGTGAATTCAAAGATATGTTTCTACTTTCTTTACCTCTTGTAAAGAAATTTTGAACAATGAGGATCACCGAAAGATTACGGTGATGTGAACCTTTAGTAAATAGTTCACTGATAATTTTAGAGTTTGTTGACTCTGACATTAGATCATCAATGATAATCCATTCAGGAACTGTCCCGTCAAATTTTTCAATCAGATTTTCGGGTAAACCTTTAATAAAATTAACTCCTTTGATTGAACCGAAAATACTTTGGTACTCACCATAAAAATAAGTTATTTTTTGTGGTGGTGGAGATGAAAATCTATTCGCGCCTGATATTAATTGTGTAATCCATCTGGTTTTTCCCGAACCAGTTGGACCAGCAACTAACATTGTAAATGGGTGATGTAAATAAATAAAGTAAGGCTTCATTTTTTTTAGTTTGAAAAAAATTTATTGAGTTTCTTAAACAAATTAATCAATTTCAATTTGACCGATGTCCATATCATCTATGAATTTTTTCATGTCTTGAACAATATTAAGTGAACACTTAAGATAGCTATCGTCACGATTATGGAAGGAACATGGTTTTTGATCTCGAGTGATAGTTTTATGTGTTGCATTGTATACTTCCAGAATATTTAAGACAGGAATTTTCAGCTCAGTAAGATATTTTTCTGATTCCTTAGATTTACACGCTATGTAATACTTTCGTCCTTCCAGAGAAAACTCATAAAACAATTTTATCAAAGTTTTCGCATAGTCCTCTTTAACAGAACTTTTTGGAACCTGATCAAGTCCATGAAATTTGTTAGTCAAATATTCGATTTGTACTTTTTCCTTCTCCGTTGGTCTAGAATATACTTGGTTCACAATTAAATTTATTATTGAATTGTCATTTAATAAACATATTTCACGTGGCTGGAAAACTCCATCAATAAAAAATCCTTGAGCGTCAAAATAGGCACAGATGATATCCATGTTGATAGCTTGAAGTTTGAATGAAGAATGTACAAAAGAAGGGAAGATAGTCTCTATTTATACATGAATGCAACGAGGGAGCTGGAAACCTCTTTGTTTGATCCAATAAATAGATCCAAAGATCCAGTATCGATCTTTCTATTTTTGAATTCTTTCTCTTCAGCTAATCCCAATTGATACACAATTGAATTATCTGGATCGCAGCTAAAACATAGACCAGGACCCCACTGTCTTGTAAGGATTTGTTCGACATCCAGGTAAAATGAAAGAATATATAGATCAATTAACTGGTTTACAGCTATTTCCTCAGATACCAAATATATTGTAAGAGGAACTAGTGATGAAATTTTGTCCCAGAAGGAGAGTGGAGTGATAACCTTGGAACCATTTTTCACTATTTCAATTGATTTGTTCGAATATTTTCTCACAGCTATTTTGAAGTATCGTGCTTCCAGAGGTGATTCGTTAAACTTTTTATAATACTTTACTAAAAATTTAAACTCAGCAGCTGTCAGAGATACACCATATTTAGACGGTAAATTGTTTATGATGGCACGTATGTCAATACGTTTAACTTTGTCACCGAAACAAATTTTAAGACATATTGAGTCATTGTGAAGAGTGAAGTTTTTCCAAGTCATGTTTAACAATAGGGAAACAAAAGTGCAATGAATTTTTTCATTTGTATTTATTCTTTATATACCCATCGGAGCTGTTCGTTTGGCGAATTGAGATAGAGCGCCATCTATCTGTGATAATTCCTTGGCTCCAGTTATAATGATTGATCCAGTTGAATAATAGATTAAAGTTAACCCATTGAGTTTGATGTAGACTGCTGGGTAAATTTCAGGTTCGTAAGAGGTATCCTCATGGGAATCTATTAGTTCACGGATATTGAATGTGTATGGCACAAAGCTATGAGCAGTTATGTTAACTACTTTGTTGAAGATAACTTTATTATCCGGATATAATTCTTGTAAGGCAGAACCGGCTTTAGTCACTTCTTCGAATCCTGTCGCAACAACTTTACCAGAAGCAAAAACTAAAAAAACTCCACTTCTTCGGATAACTTGAGCATTGAATTTCTTTTTTCGTTTAGAGTTGTCAATTTCTAATTGTATAGGTCCGTCTATTTTCCATAGACTTACGATGTTATCAATCGTGAAATTAAGCGAGTTTGATAACATGTTCACTTGTTGGGTGATAGAATGTACGAATTATTAAAACAATAATAATAACTAAGATCATTAAGATCCCGATCATGTTCTTATATGTTAAGGCATCCATTTTTTGTGAGAGTAGTCATGGGTAAAAAGCGTCTTATATAGTTGTCCCAGAGTCGGACAAGTTTACTTTAGAATTGCAGCAGAAAAAAAATGATGACGTCAATTGGTTTAAAAAGCTGTTCCAAAGTTTGAAAGATTAAAAAAAGCTATTGCTAATAAAATTCAATAAGAGTGAAAAAGCTAATTTAAATACAAAGAATTGCAAATTAATAGTTCAATACAGTATGTCTGTGTTTGGTTCAGACCCGGACAAATTTTAGTGGTCCAGGTCGGACAATTTGGTCCAGACCCGGACTTTTGACTACTACTTAAGTTAATTAACTAAAAAAACTAATAGACAATAATTAGACGGAAAAAACTTGGTGATTCGAATACTCGTACTTACGAAGAAATACACTGTATTCACCATGATTTTCAGTAGCTGCATCTTTATTGATAGTACCAAAACTATTAATGATCACACCATTAGAATGAAAAATAATCAGGTGAAGCATGACAATATTCTGCACAAGAATAAGCATCTTTGTCAACTGCAATTGAAGTCTGCGTTTTAAATTTCCTAGCAGGTACTTCTAAGTAATAATTATTAAGATCATTCAAACTATGAATAGAACATCATTTGTCTTGTTCGACGCGTGATTCATTTTTTGAGTCTTCAGTTAATAAGCTGCTTACTCTACAGTCACCATTTGAACAGATTGAGAAAATATTGCATTTAAGTGGCTCAGAATTGTGACATGTTCGATTACAATCTGCGAACGTTTTCGCATCTGTTACAATCACAGTAACTTGATCATTGCTTTTCAATTTTGCATCAACTCTAATTCTGGATTGAAAGACATCAGCCGAGGTTCCATAGTTTTTCGCTTTATCGATAACTTAAATCAATCTATAAGATTGAACTTGAAAGAAAAATACAAAACTTTGATAAGATCTAGTTTCGTGGTAGCTAGTGAAATATTCCCACTTTGAAGAGGACACCCAAAACTGATACCATTTAATTGAGCACATTTGAACATTTTATTTGGTTAACTCATGAAATAATGATAGCCTTAGGATAAAGAATTTCACAATCAGATGCTTTCTTATTTTGTTTTCAAAAACATTGATACTTGAGCAT